ACTATATATCTTGTGATGTTATAATATATGCATACATTGTGGATGATTAGATCAGACCAATTAACGTATCCACAACTTCAGATATTTAGTATTTCTGAAAAGTCTGTAACAAGCACTGATTTTTATATTAGTTTACAATGCTCTTAGTTCCTTTTTCATTTAATTCATTTTCCTTTAGAATCCTCTTCCAGTAGAATTTTCTTAGTTTATAAAAGTTATACCTCAATTTTAGTGGAAGAATTTGTGAACAAAAAGTTCTTGATTCTCAAATTATAAAATATTTCATAAAATCCTTTTTCATTTGAAAAGTAGAGAGAGGGAAAGAGGGAGGGAGAGAGAGGGGGAGGGAGAAGGAGAGAAAAGAGAGAGAGAAAGAGAGAGAGAAACATCTTCCACCTGCCGGTTCACTCTTCAAATGGCTACAAAGGCCAAAGCTGGGCAGTCCAAAGCCAGGAACCAGGAGCTTTATCCAGTTCTCCCATGTGGGTTCAGGAGCCCAAGCACTTGGGCCATCTTCCGCTGTTTACCCAGGAACATTAGCAGGGAGCTGGATCAGAACTGGAGCAGCCAGATGTTGAACTGGCACCAGTATGGGATGCCAGCATGGCAGGTGGCAGCTTAACCTGCTGTGCCACCGTACCAACCCCTTATAAAATTTTTAAGATATCAGATTATTCTTTTTCTTTACTTTTGAAAATTGTCTATGATTGTAAACTTTTATAAGTTTGTACAATGTATACATAGGATAATATCATACATGGGAGTACTTTTTAATTCTAATATTTTCTTCTTTTTGTTATTATTATTATTTGAATACTTCTCCCCCTTCTTTTCATTGCTATAACAATCCTTAACATCCCATGTAAATCATGTTAACAAATTTCAATGTATCTTTACATACATTAGATGAGCGTGTGTGTGTGTGTGTTTGTGTGTGCAAAAGAGAGAGAGATTATATGGACATGAGGTATTTGATTCCAAATGATTCAGAAAATATGTATTCTTTACTATCAAATGGAATGTTATAGAATTTCTCACAAACAAAATAAGAATTACTATTTTTTAGAAGACCAGGACAATATTTTAGATTCTTACCATCTATTGGTAAATTTTGTACCAGATTCAGAAATTCCTTATTTGTGAGTGTTATCCCCATTTTTCCAAGAACATTTTTCAAGTCACAGACATCGATTTCTCCTCCTTTAACACAATTGAAATGATGACAAATTAGTATATATACAGAGGTCTAATATCTTTAAAAACATGAGAAAATATCACTGATACCTACTCATTTTAAGCTACCATAGCAATGTGAGCACAAAACTACCCTATGAACTATTTAACCTTTTCAGAAATAGTTTCTTCTTAACTCATAGTAAAATAATAGGCAAAAAATTCAGTTTTTATGATACAAACTTAGATATTCTAAATATATGATTTAAAGATTAATTTCTAAATTATGACAATCTTTATTAAACTTTTGCTATATTATTTAATGTGTTAATTTGAATTTTAGCTTTCAAATTTAGGAATAATAACCATTATTGATAAACATCTCAGAAATCAAATTATGACTATGAAAAGTTTGCTCTGAAATTTCAGTGATGAAGCATAAATAACCTAAGTTAAATTTCAGGCAGTTACATACAAATATTTCATCAATAAAAAAGTACAGAATCAACAATGCAAGGAAGTGATGACTATGTAAAATATATTTAGCATAAAAATTAAGGCATTAGATTCATAATAACTTCTAACAAACCTTTAATAATATTCACTTGTTCCATCAACTTTTTGAAATCAACCTTCCCATTTTCTGTAAAAAAACATATCATTATCAGGACATGGGCACATAAAAAATACATAGAAACTAAAAACAAGAAAATAAATTCCACCCACAGATTTATCTTAACCAACCAAGAGTTTATATGCTTTTATATGCAATGTATGACAAGAAATCATTCTGTAGTGGCTAGAATGTTGGCTCAAGAAAACTAACTTTTTAAAAATTTTACACTTGCTGGAATGTCAGAATGGGCTAACAGTCCTGAAAATTCTATCTTCTGGTGCAAACACACAGTTCTTTCCAGGATTTATGTTAAAAGAGATTCTTTTGGGGTGGGCGCTGTGGTGCAGTGGGTTAATGCCCTGGCCTGAAGTGCCGGTATCCCATTTGGGCGCTGGTTCTATCCCGGCTGCTCCATTTCCCATCCAGCTCTCTGCTATGGTCTGGAAAAGCAGTAGAAGATGGCCCAAGTCCTTGGGCCCCGCACCCATGTGGGAGACCTAGAAAAAGCTCCTAGCTCCTGGCTTCAGATCGGTGCAGCTCCAGCCGTTGCGGCCATCTGGTGAGCGAACCAGCGGATGGAAGACCTCTCTGTCTCTACCTCTTTCTGTAACTCTGTCTTTCAAATAAATAAAATAAATCTTTTTTTTTCATTTCATATTTTTTACTTAGTAAATATAAATTTCCAAAGTACTGTTAATGGATTACAATGGCTTCCCCCCCCATAATTTCCCTCCCATTCACACCCCTCCCATCTCCCGCTCCCTCTCCCATTCCATTCACATCAAGATTCATTTTCAATTCTCTTTATATACAGAAGATCAATTTAATATATATTAAGATTTCATCAGTTTGCACCCACACAGAAACACAAAGTGTAAAATTCTGTTTCAGTACTAGTTATAGCATTACTTCACATTGGACAACACACTAAGGACAGATCCCACATGAGAAGTAAATATACAGTGACTCCTGTTGTTGACTTAACAATTTGACACTTTTGTTTATGGCATCAGTAATCTCCCAAGGCTCTAGTCATGAGTTGCCAAGGCTATGGAAGCCTTTTGAGTTTGCTGACTTCGATCTTCTTCCGCCAGGGTCATAGTCAAAGTGGAAGTTCTCTCCTCCCTTCAGAGAAAGGTACCTCCTTCTTTGATGGCCCCATTCTTTCCACTGGGATCTCACTCGCAGAGATCTTCCATTTAGGTTTTTTGTTTTTCCAGAGTGTCTTGGCTTTCCATGCCTAAAATACTCTCAGGGGCTCTTCAGCCAGATCTGAATGCCTTAAGGGCTGATTCTAAGGCCAGAGTGCTATTTAGGACATCTGCCATTCTATGAGTCTGCTGTGTATCCTGCTTCCCATGATGGATTGTTCTCTCCCTTTTTGATTCTATCAGCTAGTATTAGCAGACACTAGTCTTGTTTGTGTGATCCCTTTGACTCTTAGACCTATCAGTGTGATCAATTGTGAACTGAAATTGATCATTTGGACTAGTGAGATGGCATTGGTACATGCAACCTTGATGGGATTGTATTGGGATCCCCTGGCATGATTCTAAAACCACCATTTGGGGCAAGTCCGATTGAGCATGTCCCAAATTGTACATCTCCTCCCTCTCTTATTCCCACTCTTATATTTAACAGGGATCACTTTTCAGTTAAAATGTAAACACCTAAGAATAATTGTGTGTTAATCACAGAGTTCAACCAATAGTACTAGAACAAAACAAAGAGAAAATACTAAAATAAAGTATTACATTGTATATCAACAGTCAGGACAAGAGCTGATCAAGTCACTGTTTTTCATAGTGTCCATTTCACTTTAACAGGTTTCCCCTTTGGTGCTCAGTTAGTTGTCTGGAGAAAGTTAACTCTTGAGTTGAGGATAATTCTTTTCAGAAGAGTTAAATTTTCAAGTTACATATTTGTGAATATATGGAAAGGCATGAAGTTAAATAGAAGATTGAATGATATGGCATAAGCTCTAGGCAACAATTTTTTGTATAGAAGAAACTTCTATCAAGACTGTGCTAAATATCAGGCACTATACTTGACATTGAAAATGAATACAATGGATGATAAAAACAATATACTCCACATTGAGTAGCTCAGTCTTTCATGGGCTGACAGAGAACAAACATCTGTTATCAAAGAAATAGAGGGAGAAATATTCACTCAGAAAGTTCCATGGCATTCCAGTGATTGTGTACAGACCTAACATGAGGATTCAGGCATTTCAGTGTGGCTGCAGAGCAACATGAGACATGGAGTAAAAGAAAGTAATGGATATTTAGGACTTGAAATAACTGCTTGTGAGGATTTTGGCAACCTGGAGTTTCCTTTACTTATTTTCTCCAATCCCCAAATTTACTCCAATTCCCAAAACTTCTCTGTCCAATTTCTATGTTGAGAGTAGTTTTGGCTACTTTCTTTTTAAAATTTTTATTTATATAAAGGTAACAGATTTCACGTATTTCATAGGTACAATTCTAAGAAGATAATCATTATTCCCCCCCCATTCCCCTCTTTCCTTCCTTTTTTTAATTATTGCAAAAACATAATTTCAATCCACAGAGGGGAAGGAGTTGTATGACTATGGATTTACAAACCAAAAGACATGTCCTATTCTTACAACTAAACTACTGTTTTAAAAAAATTCAGGTTTAAGTTTGACAGCAAAACAAACAAACAAACAAACCTCAAACCCCATAAACAAGCAAACACACACAGCTAGCTTTTTATCACTACTATTTCCTCCCACAATACAGAACTGTAGATGGAGGAGGCCCAGCCAGATATTACATTTCTATTCCTTCCACCCCCTTGCCTTTAGATGTAGCCATGTAACTACTCTCAATAAACAAAGGAATGGTTGTGGAAATTAACCATGTGTCACAGCTTTCTCTTTCATGTTGTCTTCCCTGTTAGATACAAGCAGTGAAAAGGACCTAGCAAGAGTACTAAGACAGAAGGAAACTAAATATTTAATTACTGAATATACCCATCAACTAAAAATACTCTTTCACTTTGGACTTTACGAGAAAGAAAATTAAACTTCTGTTGCATAATCTTACATGATATATTTTATAACTTATTTTGTTATGTTTATGCTTAGCTGCACTTAAATAATGCAATTCCTATTCTTTTTTTAAGTTTTGTTTATTTGAAAGGCAGAGTGAGAATGAGAGCAAGAGCTAGTGAGAGAGAAAGAGAGAGAGAGAGAGAGAGAGAGAGAGAGAGAGAGAGAGAGAGAAAGGAGAGATATTGTCCATCCATTAGTTCACTCCCCGAATACCAGCAACTGTTGAGGCAGGCCATGCCAAAGTCAGAAACCAGAACTCCATCTGAGTCTCCAACATGGGTGGCAGGAACCTAAGCACCTGAGCCATCGTTCACTGCCTCTTGGGTATGCATGAACAGGAAGCTCGATAAGAAGAAAAGCTAGGACTCCAGTATGGCTCCATATGGGACTTCACTCATATAGTGGTTAAGCTGTTAACATACCACAATGCCTGCCCAAAGCTCTGTTCTTAAATTAGAATGGATATCTCCCATCATATTTTGAAATTATATTTTTATACTAAATGTCACTAGTTAATTTGAATTCCCTTAAACAGGTCCACAAATAAAAATTTCTTGCTAAGATTCATTGTTATCTATATAATGCTCACCATTAAGTGGTAGATTTTCTGTCAGACCTTCATGTTCTTTTTCTGTAAGTTCAATACCCAGGTTCTCCAGAACTGTGCCTAGGTTACTGACTTCAACCATCCCTCCTTGGGAAAGAAACAGGAGAGAATCATGAAAAAAAAAGATTTACAAATATTAATATATTCAGGTCTAAATTTTAATCTCACATGCACTTTAGTCCAATAAAAATACAAACATGTATAAGTAACATACATACATTCACACACACACACGCTCACATATCAGTGGATTGGTATACATGGTTAGCTCAGCAAGTCTTCTACAATCATATTCAGAACAACTTAGATAAAAGTGTTCTGGAGCTTAAGCCTTAAGCATTACTTGGGGGACTGTGATTGTGTGGTTTAAGTTATTATCTACAATATTAAGCAACAATCATCTCTCAAAACAAGGGGTTAAAAGTGTGGAATAAATAGACAGTGTAGCCCCATAAAGCATAAAGGAGGATACTGCGCAGGTCTTTCCTCAAAACAAAGTTAAGGCAACATTTGAGTGTGATAATTCAAGCTTCAGACAATCAATGGATAAAGGATTATAGCAAATTCTTCAAAAAGTGAAGAACATCATAGACAACATATTCATCACAAAACTTTGCAGGGAATGCTGCTGTCATTTTTTTAAAACCCTAAAATAGAAGGAGGTCATATGCCACCTCTGAGTATTCTGTCATCACATATTAAGCAGCAACACTGGTTGGCCTTATTTTTCCCTTCTTAATATCCTGTCTTCTCTTATTCTAAGGACTGAAAGGAGAAATAAGCAGAGAATTTTTGTCTGCTTATCACACGTTGTATACCTTTCATAGACTTTACATCATCCACCAATCTCTTCTGATACACCTTTCCAGCAGCTGTAAGAAAAGGCACAATTTAAATCAGAAAAAAAAAAAAAAAAAGAATGTGAATGGTCACATAGCTATGAGGCACCTGGGTAACTCTAGTAACAAAGTTTTTAAAATGCCTTTTCTGGAAAATTTGGCCTAATGCTCATTAAATAAAAATCATTTTTTGAAGAAAAACTGTCAGGGCTGGCAGTATGGCATAGCGGGTAAAGCCTCTGCCTGCAGTGCTGGCATCCCATGTGGGTACCGGTTTGAGCCCTGGCTGCTCCACTTATCTGGCTCTCCACTATGGACTGGGAAAGCAGTAGAGGACAGCCCAAGTCCTTGAGCCCCTGCACCTGCGTGGGAAACCTGGAGGAAGCCCCTATTCCTAGCTTTGGATTGGTCCAGCTGGGGAATGAACCAGCAGATGGAAGACACCCCCACCCCGCCTCCTCTGCATTTCAAATAAATTAATAAATTCTAAAAAACAAAAAACAAAAAAACCCCACAAAACTGTCTTGGTGACAAAAATGTATATAATGTTTGGCATTATAGGAAATGCCTGTAGAGACTATCATTATTCAGAAATGATCTCACTCTTGTCTTCCCTTTTCCTTCTCCTTTCCCTTCCTTGTAATAATCTCTCGCTCTCTCCTTCATATCATTCAGACCTCAGTAACCTGTATGCTTAACATGGTTACATTTCTGTCAACTCTGATAGTTCAAGAGCTTGGTGACTCCCGCATTAAATCGACATGATAGAGAACTTACCTCTCCCTGGTCATTTTCAGCACCTTTTAGAAGGAATAACTGAAGAAACAACATTATAAAATTGCTACCAATGACCCTTAATACCAAGCTCCCTGGAAAGGCTACACTGGCATTCGTCGGGCTCACCATCGGTGGGAATGGCTTCCTGCAGTTCTGCACATTCTCCTTCTGTGAGCTCGATCCCCATGCTCCCCAGAACGTTGGGCAGATCATTGGCATCGACCTTTTTTCCTTTCAAAAGACAGGGATGTTAGTGCTTGACCACTCTGAGGACCTCTAATGACTGTGAATTATAAACATTTCATTAACTGTGCTGTATGACTTTTTACTTGAAGTAGTGAACAAATAGAAACATACACAACTTACACATAATTATTGGGGAACCACAAAGACAACCTCATCGCCCTTAATTTTATAAAAGGAATAATCTATGGGTCACAGATTTGTGGGCATGTAATTTGCTACCAATATTGCTCAGCAAGTTAAATTAATGGAAACTTACCATTTTGGAAGAGGAATCTAGTAATATGTGGAATATTATTAATAGTGATTTTCCCTTCACTTATGTCTACAGCATAAGGGATATTTGAATATTGGTAAAGTAAATCATTACTGATTTATTAAAAATATTCTGCCAATTTCTTAACAAAATACAGACTTTTAATTGTATACCTTAAATTTAAATCATGCAAGTAAATATATTACAGAATTTTGAAAGCAAATATAGTATGAAAAGATAATAAAGAAGGAAATGCAATGTGTTGAAAAGTATTTTATAATTAATACACTTTCCTAGTAATTTTTCACTCACCAGTAAAAGCTTTCATTGCATCCATCAACTTTGTTGTTTTAATCTTCTCATTAACTGTAAAGAAAAACAAATACAAATAAGCTATTGACACCGATGAAAAATATAGAATTTTAAAAATCAAGCAATATTCATATATTCTTCAAATTTCCCTAGATTTATCCCTAAAATGAACCAAAGATTTTAGAATGATTTCCAGACCTCCAATTTGTTATACTCTAGGAAGCTGAAACTCCAACCGTCAAGAGTGAGATATAAAATTAAGTCACCATTTTCTATGGGTTCTGTTTCATTGTCCTATGCCTAAACTATTTATACATTAAGCACAAGAACAGGATTTCCAACTCATTGTACTACATATTAACATTTGTATTTGGTTTTAGATATTGCCTTCTTATGTAATTAGTTGATAAATATGAGTTCCTGAGTTTTACCTTGAGACAAAGTTTCTTACTCTTTATTTTACATAATTAATAATCACTTTAGTGATTAGCCTGAGAAAACTAAAAAAATTATATATACATATAATCAAATTTTTTAAAAAGATTTATTCACTTATAAGAAAGGCAGAGTTTACGTTAGAGGGAGAGACACAGAGAGAGAGAGATCCTCCATCTGCTGGTTCTTTCCTCAACTGGTTTCAAAAGCCCGAGGTGGGCTGGTCTGAAGCCAGGAGCTTCTTTCTGGTCTTCCACATGGGTGCAGGGGCCCAATAAGCCAGCCCCCAAAAGACAAACATGTTTTCCCTTATCTGTGGTAACTAATAGAGTACCAAAAAATGTAATTTATAGCAGCAAAATTGACAGTTTATGTTTGATTATTATTTACAGCTCTTGTCTCTAGTGGTGAGGAACAGTGCTTTTTGCTTCGTACTATTTGTTGAACTCTTTATGTATAGAGGGTTAGCTTATTATTATAAAACATACTGAAATTATGTTATTGTAAAAATTTAAAGAAAGAATAAGAAAGGAAGGAGGAAGGTAAGTGGGAACATGGAAGGGAGGATAGGGTAGGAAGTATCACTATGCTATATCGGTATATATGAAATATATGAAATTTGTTCAGCTTATATAAGTAAAAAATTAAAACAAAAGCAGGCATCAAAATAAATATATTAATTAATTAATTTAAAAAAGTATATTAACATGAAAGCATAATACAACTCAGAAATTGTGATTTTTCAGATTGATTTTCCTTTATTAGTTGAAAAACATTAATACATTTAATTTACACAAATATTCTTGACTTTCCCATAATTCTATATGACAAATATTTAAATGGAAACTTAATGTTAAACAGAGAAATATTGACCTTGGAGAACATAAATTATTGAAAAGTAATTAGTAATGATTTTTCAGATTTTAATGGGTATATATAAAGAACAATAGTGTAATTAGTTGTCCACATTGCCTTTAAATCTATGCTAAAATTTTTTTTCTAATTATATTCTGGTTCCAAAAAGAGAGAACAAGTAATAATTAATTTTAACAATTTTTGAGATATAATTCATCTACAGTTGATGTTACATGCAACCATTACTACAATCTACTTTTAGAATATTTTCACCACCCCAGAAAAAAACCTAATACCACTAGTCTGCAGCCCCTAACCCCTACCTTAACACATGCAATAATTACTTTTCTCTGTGTCAGGGAAAATATCAGAAACTGCTAAGTGTCAATTCATTATAGGAAGAGATAATTCCTAAAATCTAAATGAAAACATTAGTATGCAGTAATATAGACTTGCTTATTCCAGACATTACATGTAAATGAAACCATACATTAAATGATCTTTTGTGAATGACTTCTTTTATTTAGAACAATGTTTGTATTAATCCACTACAACTCAGCTCTAATTCAGTTTTAGCTATGGTTTAGTATTTGTTTCTAGCCCATTGCTAGATTATGAAGGCCTAAGAATACAGCCCTTGGATCAAGGAGTCTGACTTAGAAGTAGGATATTATGCAGTCCTTTAATTAGGAAGGATTCCACACATTGTGACCTGAGTTTTCATGGCCATTGACCCTGAGAAAATGAGGGAGCAATATTACATATGGTTATGGAATGTGTCTCTCATATTAATAATCTCCCATCTTCAACTTGCTTATCCTACTTCTATTTTCTCATTTTGTTTCCTGTATTAACTTCTCTCCAGATTGTTTTTCAAATTACTCTCCCCAACGCTTGTCATTTCATTTGCTTTGTTATAGTCCTAATAATAGTCCTGTCTAGTTTATCAGGATTCTTTTGATTCTAAACTTAAAGGGGTTGCTGACATATTTCAACAAAGTGACAAGGAAGACTATCACCTCGTTTCCTTTCTGAATTAATTTCTAAGTTTTTATGAATGATTCTTTAATGACAGATACACTTTTTCAGAGGTGATATGTACTGCTCATATTCTCAGATTATCTTGATCAGTTCAAAGATTTACGTGCTCACCATCAACAGGTAGTTTCTCTATTAAATCTTTACTTTCCATTTCTGAGAGTTTCATTCCCATGTTTTGCAAAACACTGCCCAGTTCAGTGACATCAACAAGTCCTAGGGAAAAAAGAGAAATGTAAACAAAAATGAATAACCATAAAATGTGACAAAGCTATGAGTTACTGTGCATTCGAGATATTAGTTTTACCATGAAGACTAAGGCCCGATGAGGTATGATCAGTTATACAGATTGTCAGTAATGAAAGTAGAATTGAAATTTCTATCCTTGATTTTTTTTTGTGGGGAGGAGATCAGTTTACATAATTAGCTCTCAAATGTTGTAGCATAAGTGTTATACCATTTATAGAAATAGAGAAATCAAAAATCACATTCTGTTGACAGAACTTCTACATATGACAGAGAAATGTACTATTTGTCTTTTTGCATATGGCTTATTTCACTTAGCATAATGATATCTAGTTTCATCCATTTTGTTGCAAATGTCAGTACTGAAGTACTGTTTTATGGCTGACTAATATTACAATGTGTGTGTGTATATATATATATATGACATTTTCTTTTTTTAAAATTTCTATTTGAAAGGCAGAGTTACAGAGTGGAAGGAGAGACAGACAGAGTGAAAGAGGACTTCCCTCCATTGGTTTACTCCCCAAATGGCTGGAACTGGGCCAATCTGAAGCCAGAAGCCAGGAGTCTCTTCCAGGGATCCCATGTGGGTGCAAAAACCCAAATATTTGGGCATCATCCACTGCTTTTACAGGCACATTAGCAAGCACATTAGCAGGATCAAAAATGGAGAAGCTGAGACTCAAATTAGTGCCTATATGGGAAGCCAGAGCCACAGGCAGAGGCTTTACCCACTACACCAGGGCACCAGCCCCCACATTTTCTTTTTAAAAAATATTTCTTTATGCATTTATTTATTTATCTATTTGAAAGTCAGAGTTACAGAGAGCGGGAGAGACAAAAATAGAAATAGAGATTTTTCATTTAATAGTTCACTCCTGAAATGGTGACAACATCCGGGATGGGCCAGGACAAAGCCAGGAGCCAGGAGCTTCTTTGGGTCTCCCATGTGGGTACAGAGGCTGAAGCATTTGGGCCATCTTCTGCTGCTTTTCCAGGAGCATTAGCAGGGATCTGGATCAGAAATGAAGCAGCCAGGACTCAAACTGGTGAAAATATGGGACACAGGAGCTGCAGACAGCGGGTTAACCTGCTGATCCCCAGTGCCAGCCCATGTGATGGAATGAGAAGGCCATGCCAAGATGGCCACTGGCAAGTGAGCATCAGTTACTCAGGAATGGCTTTGAAACCCACCTGGCAACAGGGCCTGCCTGGCAACAGGCTGTGATTGGATGGTTTTGGAAACCACATGGCAAATAGAGCCTGCCTGGCAACAGGTTATGATTGGATGGCTTCGGATACTGCCTGACAACAGGCTGTGATTGGTTAGGGCATAGAGTGCCCCTTGACCAGATTGGCTGCCTTGGCTATATAAGCTGTTGTACCAACTGAAATAAACGAGTCTGCGGGCTGCTCGCCTCTGGCCCGCTTTCACCCGACTCCCAGGGTCTGTGTGGTGACTCCGCACCCCTTGCCCCCACCACGCTCCTCGTCTCAGAATGAATCCACAACAACATCTGTTGCCCAACATCCCTATATACAACATTTTCTTTATCATTTCCTCCATCCATGGACACCGAGGTTGATTCCATCATAGCTTGGCTGTCATGAACAGTGCCACAGTGAATATGGAAATGCAAGCATCTCTTTAATATGGGTTAATCTCCTTCAGATATATACACAGAAGTGAGATAACTGGATTATCTAAACTAAATCTAATTTATCTAACTAAAACTGTTTTTAGTTTTTAAAAAATCTCCATATTTTTTCCATAATGGTTATATTAATTTTTATTCCCATCAACAGTATATAAGGGTTCTCTTTGGTCCATATCCTCATCTGTACTTATTATTTTAATATTTTTGATAATATCTCTTCTAACTTGAGAGGATATCTCATTATGGTTTTGATTGGCATTTCCCCAATGGCTAGACATATGAAACATTTCAAAATAATTTGTTGGCCATTTGTATTTCTTCTTTTGAGAAATGTCTATTCAGATACTTTGCCCATTTCTTAACTGATTGTTTTTGTTTGTTGTTGTTTTGCTGCTTATACATTCTGGAAATTAATCCTTTGTCAAATGAAGAGACTACAAATATTTTCTCCCATTGTCAGTTGAATTTACTCTGTCGATTATTTCCTTTGCTGAGCAGAAGCTTCTTAGTCTGATATAAGTTTATTTACTACCTATTTTGTTTTTGTTTCCTGTACTTTTGGGCCATATCCAAAATATTGTTTATTGTTGTCTAAGTATTTTATCTATGTTCTCATAGCTTCTATTTTCACTTTTATATCTTTGATCCATTTGATCCATTTTAGGTTAATTTTTATAAATCAAAACAAGTATACTTTTAATTTCCTTTTCTTCTCTATTATATGTTAATTAGGCTTTCTCTAGTATTAAGTTGAAAATGGATGGTGGAAGAAATAGATAACTGTGTCTTGTTCCTCTTCTTATTGGGGAAGCTTGTAGTTTCTCACCATTAAGCATGATGTTACCTGAGGGTTTATTTTTTTCTTATTCCCTATTAAATTGAGAAACTTATATTCCTAGGTCACCAAGAATTTTTGTCATGAATGAGCATTGGATTTTTGTCAAATGCTTTTCCTTCATCTATTGATACAATCATGTGAGTTTTCTGCTTAGCCTGTTGATGTGATAGATTATATTAATTGCTTTTTTAAAAGATTAACTTGTTTATTTGAAAGGCCCAGCCTCTCGCTCTGATTCCTGGCCTGTAACAGGATACATCATCCACACATGCTCTGCCATTGCCTCTGCTGCCCTCACCAGAGTCCAAACCAATAGAACTGCCTGATTGAGAATGTGAACCTTCAAAACTGATCCAAATAAAGTTTGTTGCCTCGGGATATTTCAATGTAAAAATGAAAAGCTGACTAATACTGAGGGGGTGGGGGTGTTTGCTATGAATTCTGAAGCAAGGTTTAGATTAGAAAATGGCTGCCACAGGACTGAGAGTGAAATATTGCTGTACTATCAGTTAAATAATGCCAGCTGGTATTGAAGTGTTAATCTGACTAGAGTAAAGAAACTTCATTGGGGTTGATGCTGTGGTGCAGCGGGTGAAGCCGCTATATGGGTGCTGGTTCTAGTACCAGCTGCTCCATTTCCAATCCGGCTCTCTGCTATGGCCTGATGAGCAGGACAAATAGCTGAGAAAACAGAAAGGCTACACCTCAGAAGTATACACCACATCCTAGAGTAAGGCTATTATAGGTCTTCAATATCCAATACAGTGGCCACTAGAGAGACATGCATTCATTTAAATTTAAATTAAATGATGATAATAATAAAACTTAGTTCTAACAAACCACTAAATACATTTTTAAAGATTTTATTATTATTATTTATTTGAAAGACAGAGTTACAGAGAGAGGTAGAGACAAGAGAGAGAAGTCTTCCATCTGCTAGTTCACTCCCCAATTGGCCGCAACAGCCGGAGCTGTGCCAATCCAAAGCCAGGAGCCAGGAGCTTATTCTGGGTCTCCAAAATGGGTACCAGGGCCCAAGGACTTGGGCCATCTTCCACTGCTATCCCAGGCCATAGCAGAGAGCGGGATCGGAAGAGGAGCAGCCAGGACTCGAACGGGTGCCTATATGGGATGCTGACACTTCAGGCCAGGGCTTTAACTCACTGTGCTACAGCGCTGAATAAGACTAACCACATTTTTAAAAAATATTTATTTATCCGAAAGGCAGAGTTACAGAGAGGCAGAGGCAGAGGCAGAGGCAGAGAGAGAGAGAGAGAGAGAGAGAGAGAGAGAGAGAGAGTCTTCCATCTGCCGGTTCACTCCCCAAATGGCTGCAACAACCAGGGTTGGGCCAGGTCTAAGTGAGGAGCCAGGAATTTCTTCCAGATCTCCCACATGGGTTCAGGGGCACAAGCACGTGGGCCATCTTCCACTGCTTTCCCCATGCACATTAGCAGGAACTGGATCCAAGAGGACCAGCTGGAACTCCAAACGATGCCAGAGTTGCAGGAAGCAGGTCTACCTGCTATACCACAGTACCAGCCCACATGAATTGCCTTGTGAATGTTGACCAGCCTTGCTAACCTGGGTTGAATCCACTTAGTTGTAAATAATCTCTTTTATAGATAGTTGAATTATATTTGCTAATATTGTACTGAGGATGTTTGTATCTATTTTCATAAGAGATATCAGTCTGCCATTTTTTCTTATAATATCTCTCCCTGTTTTGGTAGCAGGGTAAGGCAAGCCTCAGAAAAAGAGTTCAGTGAGGCCGGCGCTGTGGTGCAGCAGGTAAAGCCACCGCCTGCAGTGCCGGCATCCCATATGGGCGCCGGTTTGAGACTCAGCTGCTCCATTTCCAATCCAGCTCTCTACTGTGGCCTGGGAAAGCAGTAGAAGATGGCCCAAGTCCTTGGGTCCCTGCATCCATGTGGGAGACCTGGAATAAGCTCCTGGCTCCTGGCTTCAGATCAGAGCAGCTCTGGCTGTTGTGGCCAATTGGGGAGTGAACCAGTGGATGGAAGACCTCTCTCTCTGCCTCTCCTTCTCTCTCCGTGTAACTCTTTCAAATAAATAAATAATTCTTTTTTTTTTAAAGAAAGAGTTTAGTAACTATTGTCTCTGCTTCTAGAAATTGTAGAGAGTTGGTAAAGTTTCTTCCTTAAAGGTTTAGTACAATTCACTTGTGAAACCATCTCGGCCTGGTGCTTTTTATATGAAAGATTAATTATTAACCAATTTCCTTAATAAAAACAGGCCTATTCAAATTTTCTATCCCCTCTTGTTTGACATTTGGCAGCCTGTGTACCCTTTAAAGAACTGGTCTGTTTCATTGAGGTTATTACATTTGTAAGCATAGAATTGATCCTGGTATCCCTTTTGTTCTCCTTTTAGTATTGGTGGGATCCCTACTGATATCACTCCTTTCCCTTCTGACATTAGTAATCTGTGTCTTCTTTCATTTTTTCTTTGTTAGTTTGGCTGCAGGTTTATAGATTTGTCTTTTCAAAGAACCAGATTTTGGTCTTGTTGATTTTCTTTATTGTTTTCCTGTTTTCAATTTCATTGAAATGTTCTAGTTTTTAATGATTAAAAACATTGTAAATCTCCTTTCAAATAAATAAAACTTTTTAAAAATTCCACAACTATAGCCAGCACTGTGACACATTAGGATAAGCCACCATCTGCAATGCCAGCATTCCAAATGGGCACTGTTTCAATTTCTGGCTGCTCCACTTCTGATCCAGCTCCCTGCTAACGCACCTGGGAAAGCAGCAGAAGACAGCCCAAGTGCTGCACTCACATGGAAGAACTGGAAGAAGTTACTGGTTTCTGGTTTAAGTCTGGCCCAAATATTGTTGTGGCCATTTGGGGAGTAAACCAGTGGATGAAAGATACCTCTCTCTCTCTACCTCTGCCTCTCCCTCTCTGTAACTTTGACCTTCAAATAAATCTTTTTGAAAAATCCCCAATTTTACTATAACTTTAGAAAGACCTTGAGGTTAAAAAATATTTTTTATGAAACTTAATGGCTCCACATCTAGATTCATTTTTCCTAATGATTATATGATTGCAAGCAATGGAAATGAAACAGTGAAGACGACCTGAAGATTCTTATAGATAGGCAGCACCAAAAATTCAGAATAAATTAATAAGAAAGTATTTTAGGTGACAGTGCCTATATTACACAATGATAGAAAGAAATAGATCCTTAATAAGGTAATGATTGACTTGTCTAAGGTTATTACATGGTCAGGTTTATGTTCCATAAAGATATACTTGGCCCCACTGGAATATTCTAAAGTTAATATCCTAAACTTGTATTTACTGGGTTTGGGGATTAGTTCAACCATAATTCAGAATTTGTTAAATTTTAGCATTTGTCTATAGCTCATCAAGGGAGATTAGGAATCCCTGAACATAGTCCTTGAGCCATGGAGTTAGGTTCAGGAATATGAGGAATATAAACAGTCACTAAGTAGGGAAACTGGGCATTCAGGCATTCTACACGTTCAGGCCTAAATGTTACCTGCTCTTTCCCAGGAAGTATTTTGAGGGTTCTATCATATTAATCTGGTAGAAAATTGGTATCACATTCCATGCCTCCTTGACTCTTTCTGTCTTCTTATATGTCCATGGTAAACAATTGTGGGGCCAGCAAGGAGAAATGTTATTTTTTCCCGTTTTCCTATGTGTCTTCCCTCCTCACAACAGCACTGCCTTTCTCTAATTCTCCCTAGTTCTAGAAGTGGTACTGGCCACTCTCAGCTGAACTAAAATTGCTGAAAATGTCAAGAGAACAAAAATATGTTTGCTTACAGTCCGAGTTTTCTTTAATATTTAGTCTTTTTAATATCAACTAGGAGTGTTCAGAGACTCTTACAGAAGCACATATTTTACAGACGTACTGAACATTTTAAATGTATTTCAAATACTCACCATCAACTGGCAGATTATGTATCAGATCACTAGTTTCCTTTTCAGCAAGATTCATCCTCATCCTTTTCAAAAGAATATCCACTTCATTGATATCACTAATCCCTTCTTGGGAAAAAGAGAATAATATGAGATTTTACTGTGAATTATGATTATCAGATTCATGAGAAAGACTAAGGTTCAATAAAGTCTGTTCATACATATCAAGAGGAGAGCAATAATGGTGTTGGAATTAGAATTGAAATATTCTAAATGGATAAATAATTATTAAATTGTTTACAGCAAAGTGTAAAATAAATCAGAGATGTCAGTGAGTAGAGCTTATTTTTGTTTTCTGAACTTCCAAATTAAGATACTTTATCTGTTGACCAAAAATTGTGATCAGGTTCTGTTTCCAATTATTTAGAGGACTATGCTATTCAGACCAACCTTCCTGTGGAAAACAACTGATATATTCAATAAGATATTAAATGCACTGAGGAGCTCATAAGAGAGTAAAATAATCCCAGTCCAAAATCTAATGGAAGGCAAGAATTCAAAAGGCCTCAGAGAGTATAGATGAACAAAATCAAATTCTTGGACCTAACCAAAAAATATTCTGTCCCTGTGAGCCTGGGAACCCAAAAGGCTGAACCTTCAGCCCAGCTCAGAGTAAACGAGAAGTAAACCTACCATACCCCACTCTCATCCCGAGTAGACTGCTAGTGGCAGTGGGGAGTTACTCTGGATCAGAGAAAACAGAGAGAAAAAGTATCCCTGAAGCAGAGTCTGAGCAGACTCCTGCACAAACTTGAAGCTAAGGTTCACTTCACTGTGACAGTGCAAAACGTCTCACTCATCCTGCACTGATCCTGTCCAAATGTCTAGGAGAAGAAAAGGTAACTATTTTTGGAAATGTACTTCCATCTTAGCCTCAAATGTTCCTTTCAATTGTCCAAGGAAAAAGCTCTCAGTTAAAAGAATCTGATCCAGAAAGAAACAAGGCATCTGAGAGAGAATAAATAGAAACAATTGGTAGCAGTAATGGAAACCCCCCCAAAAAAATATTAAAATTTAAGTAAATTGTAAAAGGAAAGTAAGCAGAAGAAATGAAGGAAACAAGCAAACAGAAGCTATATAGGATTATGAAAGATATTCAGGACCACAAGTCATTTATCTGCTACCACTAACCCACCAGTGAACTAACATGGTAGACTAATCCCTTAGGGCAACCCTTGACCTGGCACCATATACAAGCGCTGCCTCTCCTACCTCAGACACATAATGGTGTGCTTACAATATCTGTGAAACCCTCTTACTGGGAACACACCCAGTGAGGTATATAAGGCAACATCTACCCTCAGCAAGGTACATCCAGCCTGATTCCATGGAGGCCTAAGCTACAGCCAAGTGGGTACATCACCATATGGTCTGAATTTGATTCAGAAAGATGCATATACATGCATATACATATGTACATGTATGTTTGTATAATGTGAAAGATTTTTCTGCTGAATCTAAATTTGAAAGGATAGTCAACATTTTTGTTCCAAAGAAAACAAGTGATGTAATATATGCTTCTATATTTCTCCATCATTTTGGTATTTTAACTAGGCTTGATGATAAGGAGATATGTAACTAAGAAATTAATTTTTTTCATAAAGATATAGGTTACACAGCAAATGAAAGATGAAAAACAAAGAAACAAAACAAATATACTATTACTATAAGTGACACCAAAAAGATTTTCCCAAAAAGAAATCAGATCCAGGATCAGGGGTTGGGGAAGAAGCCTATTGCATTTGTATATGAGAACAGGAATGAAGAGTTAGACCTACTTATGTTAAAATAGTATATGGATGTTAATTTAAAAACATTTTATCAGTGCATGAGCAAACATACCAAATATGGAAATATAAATTAAAAAACAAACAAGGGCATGTATAAATTAAGTATGTAAGACTTGGATTAAATCTAACATAGAATGAGAAGGGGGCCGGTGCTGCAGCTCAATAGGCTAATCCTCCGCCTGCGGCGGCGGCACACCAGGTTCTAGTCCCGGTCAGGGCGCCGGATTCTGTCCCGGTTGCCCCTCTTCCAGGCCAGCTCTCTGCTGTGGCCAGGGAGTGCAGTGGAGGATGGCCCAAGTTCCTCACCCAACTGATCACTGACAATACATGTGGCTTAGTTGTGCAATCAAAATATTGCTTAGTTTTTTTAATATTATACAGAACTACAGAAATTTACTTTTATTTTAAAATAGGAGTGTAAAACAAACATATATCATCCAGACTAATGATAAACAGAACTTTGCTAAAGAATCCTACATAATGGAAGCAACAGTAATGGGTTGATATTGCATGTATGGAGTCAAAATGTCTGCAGATGTTAGAAGAACGTCTCATATTTAGTGAGTGGTTCTAGATACTGTTCTACGTACTTTACATGTATCAGTTCATTTGATTCTCACAATAACTTTAGGTGATTTATAATCATTATCCCATTTTATAAATGAGGAAACTGGATAATAAGAAATTAAATAACTTCCCATAGTTGCAGGGGCATTAAGTGGAAGAAGCACTCTGGCTTCAAAGTCCACAATCCTTTAACAAAAATCCAACTTTCAAAATACCAATGCAGAATACAGAAAAGATAAGCTGAATTTCACAATGGACAGATGAAAATAAGCCTGCAGCTTGAGTCAAAAAACTGACAATTAGGCTTCTGACTACCAATACCTAACCCTCTTTAATATGTTCAGCAAAGTGGATGAAGCACCAAAGAAAAACTAAAACATGACAGTATAGTGGACAACATTTGTCACAGACTTCTACAGGGAATGCTCCAAATTGTCACTTCTCCAAAAGGCCTAGGTGTGACAGGAGGCAGAATCTCAGCTTCAGTAAACTTATTTCACTAGGTATCCCTTCCCGTCCTTCTCTGTTCTTGCTTCAGAGCTTAGAGGAGGAGGCAGTAAGGCATCTCACAAGCCTATTCTTTTGTCTTACGTTTATTACTAAATTTCCCTCAATTAAAAGTCAAGAAATTTAAGAGGAAACACAACAAATTAGTAGAATGAAATCCACTGCAAAAATCTTTGAACTTTTTTTTTAAACTTTTATTTAATAAATATAAATTTCCAAAGTACAGCTTATGGATTACAATGGCTTCCCCCCGCCATAACTTCCCTTCCACCCGCAACCCTCCCATCTCCTGCTCCCTCTCCCATTCCATTCACATCAAGATTCATTTTCAATTATCTTTATATACATAAGATCAATTTAGTATATATTAAGTAAAGATTTCAACAGTTTGCACCCACACAGAAACACAAAGTGTAAAGTACTATTTGAGTACTAAAACTAGTTACTTTTAATTGTGAGTGTTTAACTATATTTCAAATCAATTTCTAGGGGAGTATATACTACTTTTAAAGGTATATTACAAACCATTCATTGCATTGTAAAATGTTATTAAATTGGATACAAATAGGAGCATAAACTTGTATGTGTTAATTTTGAGAATTTCACATTTAGGAGAGATCTTATATCATCCAATAATCTTCTCCAGCAGTTATAAAAATAAAGACACAACACAAATCAGATATCTCAGAGTAGCATCAACAAGATAATTAGATATTTTAAAAAATGATTTATCTGAGAAATGTACCCAATCATCCCATCAAACAAAACCTGGGACAGGAAAAAGAAAAGATAGCTAAATGTGACAAGTACTTGCACATGTGATTTTTGGCAACTGAGGCAAATGTAAGGGGAACTCTACTATGTGGAAATGTTCCCTTATCTTGCTTTGCCCTTTTTCTTTTCTGATTTATCCTTTATGTTCGTTTATCTTTCTTCACCTTTCTTCTTCTCTTATTTATCCTTCCTTTCTTTTTATTAAACTCTTCAGTGACTTAAAATATTAGGATTTTTTTTCCACTGGGACCTAACTTGATAGTAATGCTTACGGCCCTAGTGACACTTGCTTTGCTCACTATCAGTTGGCAGTATTTTCTGAAGCTCTACAGTTTTCTTTTTTTATCTGTGAGCTGCATTCTCATGTTTTCCAGAACTTTCTTCAGGTCACTTATTTATTTATTTTATTTATTTGACAGGCAGAGTTAGACAGTGAGAGAGAGAGAGAGACAGAGAGAAAGGTCTTCCTTCTGTTGGTTCACCCCGCAAATGGCCACTGCGGCCAGTGCTGCGCTGATCCGAAGCCAGGAGCCAGGTGCTTCCTCCTGGCCTCCCACACAAGTGCAGGGTTTTGAGTTGAATATCACAAGTTTCTCTGTAATAATCTTAACAGTTTTATTTCCCATTTACTATAGAAATAAGTCCTTAGAAAATAATGAATAATATAAGTATATCGGTCGTTTGTTAAAATATAATCAGGCCAGCGCCGCGGTTCAATAGGCTAATCCTCCGCTGTGGCGGCAGAACACCGGGTTCTAGTCCCAGTCGGGGCACCGGATTCTGTCCTGGTTGCTCCTCTTCCAGTCCAGCTCTCTGCTGTGGCCCGGGAGTGTAGTGGAGGATGGCCCAAGTCCTTGGGCCCTGCACCCACATGGGAGACCAGGAGAGGCACCTGGCTCCTGGCTTCGGATCAGCGCGGTGCACTGGCCGAAGCAGCCATTGGAGGGTGAACCAATGGTAAAGGAAAACCTTTCTCTCTGTCTCTTTCTCTCTCTCTCTCACTGTCCACTCTGCCTGTCAAAAAATATTATAATCAGGGGCCAGCTTTGTGAGGTAGGGAGTTAAACTGCCAGCTGTAATGCCAGCATCCTTTATAGGTACCAGTTTGTGTCCTGGCTGATCCACTTCCAATCCGGCTCCCTGCTAATGTGACTGGGAAAGCAGCAGAGGCTGGTCCAAGTGATTGGGCTCCTGTCACCTTCATGAGAGATCCAGAGGAAGCTCCTGGCTTCTGGCTCCTGGCTCCAGCATGGCCCAACCCTGGCATTTCAGCCATTTGATGTGTGTTTATCTTCCTTTCTATCTCTCTATAACCATGAGTTTCAAATAAATAAATATATCTTCTAAAAGTTTTTAAATAAAATTTCATAATCTAAAATAATTTAATCATGATAAAAATTAACATGTATGAGTCTGTGTATATTGATAAAATGCTATTAAAAAGGGTGGGAACATGGGCAGGAGGGATGGTAGGGTGGGAAGTACCACTATGTTTCTAAAGCTGTATATATGAAATACATGAAGTTTGTTTACTTTATATAAAAGAAAAATTTTAAATAATGAAAATAAAACATAGTATAAATATGAGGTTACATTTTTATAATTTGTCCCTCAATAGAAAAATGTTTTAATTTTTCATTTTTCTAAAGATTTTTCTTATATTAAACAATAAGTTAACAAATACATGTATGTTAAATTTTGATGTGACACTGAGATGTGAAATTGGAAATATATGTTGGCTATGGAATTTCATACCATTTACCCCATTCAAAACCACAAAATCACACAAAGAATAAAGCTGAAATATGATCTCAGTTCAGTGAGGTCCAGGTTAAGATCATATTTGTACTGATAAGTCGGTTTCAATGATGCAACTTTTATTTTTTGGTCACTTTCACTATGTTTTTTTTTTTCATTTTTGATTCTCTTTATATACAGAAGATCAGTTTAGCATACATTAAGTAAAGATTTCAACAGTTTGCTCCCACACAGAAACATAAAATGAAAAATACTGTTTGAGTACTAGTTATAGCATTAAATCACAATGTACAGCACACTAAGGACAAAGATCCTACATGAGGAATAAGTGCACAGTGACTCCTGTTGTTGACTTAACAAATTGACACTCTTGTTTATGGCATCAGTAATCACCCTAGGATCTTGTCATGAGCTGCCAAGGCTATGGAAGCCCCCTGAGTTCACTGACTCTGATAATTTTAGACAAGGCCATGGTCAAAGTGGAAGTTCTCTCCTCCCTTCAGAGAAAGATACCTCCTTCTTTGATGACCCGTTCTTTCCACTGGGATCTCACTCGCGGAGATCTTTCATTTAGGTTTTTTTTTTCCCCCAGAGTGTCTTGGCTTTCCATGCCTGAAATACTCTCATGGGCTTTTCAGCCGGATCCGCATGCCTTAAGGGCTGATTCTGAGGCCAGAGTGCTGTCCAGGACATCTGCCATTCTATGGGTCTGCTGTGTATCTCACTTCCCATGTTGGATCATTCTCTCCCTTTTTTATTCTATCAGCTAGTATTTGCAGACACTATTCTTGTTTATGTGATCCTTTTGGTTCTTTCACTATGGGTTTTGAGATTCCAGTATCTTCTTTTCATGGAGTCATTTTTTTTTAACTCTTTCACTTTAAAGAAAAAACTACTAATTTGTTAGTTGAAAAAGAACAAGATTTAAACTTGGTATCCTACTCTACATCATTTCAATTGGATTTTTGAAACTGTCCTCTATTTTATAGTTTACTGTTATTTTCATTGATGTAGGCAGACATATTTATTTCCCTATTTACATAAGAGAATTATTAGTCATTTTTAAGCCAACCTCTGACTTCATTAAAACTAGATATTTTCTATAGTGACAACAGATATTTATATGAATTTAGAAATGGAAAGTAATTTATATGCTTCATAAGCACATAATCAGAAAAAAGTAATCTTGATTTTTTTCCATTTTTAGGAAATAATTTTAAATAGAAATTCCATAGGAATTCTAAAATAACTTTGCTAAATAATAGAACAGATTGTCTACCCAGTGTCAGAAAAGTGATCAAGAGGGGAAAAATGTAAAACATAACTTGTAATACAATGACTGTTGAGTGGGAATGTATCATGCACTTCTCATTTCTTTCTTTCTCCTCCTTGAGTATGTAAACTGATGGGAGAATAATTTGCTAGTAAAAACTGCCTTTGGCAGTTTTTTTCTCTCTTTTTAAAAACTTTTAGTGTTAAATGTCTTCCATTTAATGTGTTCTTCATATATCCTCCCTTCCACAATACTTTTTTTTAGATCTTCAATATCATAGTAGCCACAATCATAGTACCAATATTGGTGAATGAAATTGCTAAACCATAATTTTTTAATGTTAAGATGTGAAACTTACTGTTAGCATGAGTTCTTCAAGATAACATTTTAGTACAAAAAAGATTTAAAAAGTCTGCTATAATTTAACCATGATTTGGCTCCCCAACTCACACAGACCTTTAAGTCCCAATGTCATGGATTGATGATGCTGACATAGTAGTGGCCACATTCAGTTCCGGTGTCTGAGCCTTTGGGAGATGACTGAATTGGATTGGTTTCATAGGGTGGAGCCTCGTGGTCAAGTCATGGAGGCTTTATAAAAAGAAACCACATGGGAGAGCGTGCTCCCCATCTCTCTCTCTCTCTCTCTCTCTCTCTCTCTCTCTCTCTCTCTCTCTCTCTTTCCTTCCTGGCTCATCATTTGCTCTTCCCTGTGCATGCCCAATCCACAGCCTCATCAAATGATAGACTAATGGGACCTTCAGATCTTAAACTGTGAACCTCCCAACCATGAGCTGAAATAAACCTTCTTCCTAAGGAGTTTTTCTCAGGTTTTTGTTAATGTTGAAAAAATAATACAAAGCATTTTCTAAATAATAAAAATTTTACTGCAAAATAAGCATTTTGGAGAGTCTTATATACAAGTTCAAATTCTCAGACTTTCTGAGCAACTTAAATAAATCTTCACTTCTTACCATCAATTGGCATGTTTTGCTTAAGATCACTAACTTCAGTTTCTGTGAGTTTCATCTCCATGTTTTGCAAAATAGTGTCCAGTTTACTAACATCAATAATTCCTCCTTTGGAAAAAGAAAATATGATCAAAATCTAATTGCCATATATTATTGAAAGGTGTCACTACCTGAGAATTATGATGATCTTAATGCACAAAGGCTGAAGTATAATGAGATCTCTTCAAATGTAGCAAAAATACTGATGCCAGAACTACAAATAGAATACTTCCTCTGATCTGGTTTTTGTTAGCCAGCTGGTTGAGCATCTAGCAATTTACAGTAAAGGAGAAAACAACTCTAACACCTTTGACTAAGAAATTGAGTTTGCTTTCATTTTCTCAATGCCAAGACAGATATCAAGCATGACTAAAATTTTTATCAGTTTTTATTTCTACAATTTATTTTTAAAATACTGATATAATATCTGATTATTTTATTTCATGCTAAAAATATTAAAAATCTCAAGAGGATACCCTCTACAACAGAAAAATAATATCAACCCCTAAAACACATTTAGATATAAAATATATATGGCATCAGAATATGGGAAAGGGTGGCAGAAATTAAAATTTAATGATTAGAAAATGAAGAAATACTGTTTGAGTACTCATTATAGCATTAAGTCTCAATGTACAGCACATTAAGGACAGAGATCCTACATGAGGAGTAAGTGCACAGTGACTCCTGTTGTTGACTTTACAAATTGACACTCTTGTTTATGGCATCAGTAATCTCCCTATGCACCAGTCATGAGTTTCCAAGGCTATGGAAGCCTTTTGAGTTCACCGACTCTGATCATATTTAGACAAGGTCGTAGTCAGAGTGGAAGTTCTCTCCTCCCTTCAGAGAAAGGTACCTCCTTCTTTGAAGACCTGTTCTTTCCACTGGGATCTCACTCACAGAGATCTTTCATTTAGGGTTTTTTTTTTTTTTTTTTTTTGCCAGAGTGTCTTGGCTTTCCATGCCTGAAATACTCTCATGGGCTTTTCAGCCAGATCAGAATGCCTTTAGGCTGATTCTGAGGCCAGAGTGCTGTTTAGGACATCCACCATTCTATGAGTCTGCTGAGTATCTCGCTTCCCATGTTGGATCACTCTCCCCTTTATTTATTCTATCGGTTAGTGTTAGCAGATACTAGACTTGTTTATGTGCTCCCTTTGACTCTTAGTCCTTTCATTATGATCAATTGTGAACTGAAATTGATCACTTGGACTGGTGAGATGGCATTGGTACATGCCACCTTGATGGGATACAAATACAAAACATGATAATCTCACATCCATCTAACTTATCTATATGCATTTCACACACCTTTAGGGGATTTCACACCATCCATCAATTTCTTTTGATAGACCTCAGCATTAGCTGCTTTAAAAAGATAAAAATCAGGTCATAAGAACAGATGTGGAGATTCACCAAATCATTTTAAAGCCATAATTTCAAAATGACATACATTGTTATTTGCCCTAAAGAATCTATAATTTAATCCAAAACAATAAAACTATAGAATTGAAAAGTTATTAATGAGGCCTCTATATCTACTTGTTTGCCCCACAATCTTTTTTTTTCATTTTCAATTAACTTTATACACAGAAGACCAACTTTATACCAAGTAAATTTCAACAATTTGCACACAAACACCAAAAAAACAAAAACAAACAAAAAAACCTGAGAACTAACTCATAATACAACTCATTGAGGAGAGAGGTCCTGCAGAAGAGGTTAATACACAGTGACATCTGTTGTAATTTAACAACTAACACTCTTATATATAATGTCAGTGACCACCCAAGACTCTTGATAAGAGCTGCCTAGGCTATGGAAGCCTTTTGAATCCACAAACTCCATCCATATTTTGTTTTTGTTTTTGTTTTCAACTTTTATTTAATAAATATAAATTTTCAAAGTACAACTTTTGAATCACAGAGGCTTTTCCTCCCATAAACTCCCTCCCACCCGCAACCATCCCATTTCCCACTCCCTCTCCCATCCCACTCTTCATCAAAATTCATTTTCAATCATCTTTATATACAGAAGATCAATTTAGTATATACTAAGTAAAGATTTCAACAGACTGCACCCATGCAGACACACAAAGTACAGAGTATTGTTTGAGTAGTAGTTTCACCGTTAATTTGCATAGTACAACACATTAAGAACAAAGATCCTACGTGGGGAGTAGGTGCACAGTAACTCCCGTTGTTGATTTAACAATTGACACTCTTGTTAATGGCGTCAGTACTAACCCAAGGCTCTTGTCATGAGCTGCCACGGCTATGGAAGCCTCTTGAGTTTAAAAACTCCGATCTTATTTAGACAAGGCCATAGTCAAAGTGGAAGTTCTCTCCTCCCTTAAGAGAAAGGTACCTCCTTCTTTGATGGACTGTTCTTCCCACTGGGATCTCACTCACAGAGATCCCCCATCTAGGTCTTTTTTTTTTTTTTTTTTTTTGCCAGAATGTCTTGATGTCTTGGCTTTCCATGCCTGAGAAAATCTCATGTGCTTTCTAGCCAGATCCGAATGCCCCAAGGGCTTATTCTGAGGCCAGAGTACTAATCAGGGCATTTGCCATTCTATGAGTCTGCTGTGTTTCTCGCCTCCAACGTAGAATCATTCGCTCCTTTTTAATTCTATCAATTATTATTTGCAGACACTGGTCTTATTTATGTAATCCCTTTGACACTTAATCCTATATTTTTGATCAACTATGAACTTAAACTGATCACTTTAACAAGTAAGATGGCATTGGTACATGCCACCTTGATGGGATTGAATTGGAATCCCCTGGCACATTTCTAACTCTACATTGGGGTAAGTCAGCTTGAGCATGTGCTGAACTGTATATCTCCTCCCTCTCTTATTCCGACTCTTATATTTAACAGAGATCACTTTTCAGTTAAATTTCAACACCTAAGAATAATTGTGTGTTAATCAAAGAGTTCAACCAATAGTATTAAGTAGCACAAAAAAATACTAAAAGGAATAAAGAAGTAAGTTGTTCCCCAACAGTTAGGACAAGGGCTGATCAAGTCATTGTTTCTCATAGTGTCCATTTCGCTTCACCAGGTTTCCTTTTAGGTGCTCGGTTAGTTGTCACCAATCAGGGAGAACATATGATATTTGTCCCTCTGGGACTGGCTTATTTCACTCAGCATGATGTTTTCCAGATTCCTCCATTTTGTTGCAAATGACCGGATTTCATTGGTTTTTTTACTGCTGTATAGAATTCTATACAGTACATATACTATAATTTCTTTATCCAGTCTTCTGTTGATGGGTACTTAGGTTGATTCCATGTCTCAGATATTGTGAATTGAGCTGCAATACGCATTGAGGTGCAGACAGCTCTTTTATTTGCCATTTTAATTCCTTTGGGTAAATTCCAAGGAGCGGGATGGCTAGGTTAAATGGTAGTTTTATATTCAGGTTTCTGAGGAATCTCCAGATGACTTCCATAGTGGCTTTACCAGTTTGCATTCCCACCAACAGTGGGTTAGTGTCCCTCTTTCCCCACATCCTCGCTAGCATCCATTGTTGCTAGGTTTCTGTATGCAAACCATTCTAACCGAGGTGAGGTGAAACCTCATTATGGTTTTGATTTGCATTTCCCTGATGGCTAGTGATCCTGAACATCTTTTCATGTGTCTGTTGGCCATTTGGATTTCCTCTTTTGAAAAATGTCTATTGAGGTCCTAGGCCAATCTCTTAGTGGGTTGTTAGTTTTTTTGATGTGGAGTTTCTTGATCTCTTTGTAGATTCTGGTTATTAAACCTTTATCTGTTGCATAGTTTGCAAATATTTTCCCATTCTGTCTCCTGTGCCTCCATTTGAATTTTGGCATAATTTTTTCCAGTTCTGAGAAGAATGTCTTTGGTATTTTGATTGGTATCACATTGAATCTATAAATTACTTTTGGGAGAATGGACATTTTGATGATATTGATTCTTCCAATCCATGAGCATGGAAGATTTTTCCATTTTTTGGTTGGCTTTTCTATTTTTTTCTTTAAGACTTTGTAACACTAATTGTAGCGATCTTTGACATCCTTGGTTAAGTTTGTTCCAAGGTATTTGATTGTTTTTGTAGCTATTGTGAATAGAATTGATCTTAGCAGTTCTTCCTCAGTCGTGGCATTGCCTGTGTATACAAAGGCTGTTGATTTTTGTGCATTGATTTTATATCCTGCTACATTGCCAAATTCTTCTATGAGTTCCAATAGTTTCTTAGTAGAGTTCTCTGGACCCCCTAAATAAAGAATCATATCATCTGCACAGAGGGATAGTTTGACTTTTTCCTTCCCAATTCGTATCCCTTTAATTTCTTTTTCTTGCCTAATAGCTCTGGCTAGAACCTCCAGAACTATATTGAATAGCAGTGGTGAGAGTGGACATCCCTGTCTGGTACCAGATCTCAGTGGAAATGCTTCCAACTTTTCTCCATTCAATAGGATGTTGGCTGTGGGTTTTTCATAGATTGCTTTGATTGTATTGAGGAATGTTCCTTCTATACCCAGTTTTCTTAGAATTTTCATTATGAAAGGGTGTTGTATTTTATCAAATGCTTTCTCTGCATCTATTGAGATAATCATATGGTTTTTCTTCTGCAGTCTGTTAATGTGGTGTATCACATCGATTGTCTTGCGCACATTAAACCATCCCTGCGTACTAGGGATAAATCCCACTTGGTCTGGGTGGATGATCTTCTGATGTGTTGTTGCATTCTATTAGACAGAATTTTATTGAGGATTTTGCATCTATGTTCATCAGGGATATTGGTCTGTAATTCTCTTTCAATGCTGCATCTTTTTCAGGTTTAGGAATTAAGGTGATGCTGACTTCATAGAAAGAATTTGGGAGGACGCCCTCTTTTTCCATTGTTCTGAATAGTTTGAGAAGAATTGGAGTTAGTTCTTCTTTAAATGTCTGGTAGAATTCAGCAGTGAATCCATCTGGTCCTGGGCTTTTCTTTGTTGGGAGGGCCTTTATTACTGTTTCAACTTCTGACTTGGTTAGGGTCTGTTTAGGTTTTTATGTCTTCCTGGTTCAGTTTAGGTAGGTTGCATGTGTTCAGGAATCTATCCATTTCTGATAGATTTCCCTGTTTGCTGGCATACAAGTCCTTGTAGTAATTTCTGATGACTCTTTTTATTTCTGTGGTGTCTGTTGTTACGTTTCCTTTTTCATCTCTGATTTTATTGATTTGGGTCTTTTCTTTTTTTAGTTAGTTGGGACAATGGGGTGTCAATTTTGTTTATTTTTTCAAAAAACCAGCTCTTTGTTTTGCTGATCTTTTTTAATGGTTCAGATTCAATCCTATTGATGTCTTCTCTGATTTTAATTATTTATCTTCTCTTACTAGTTTTGGATCTGGTTTGCTGCAGTTTTTCTAGATCCTTGAGATGCATATGCATTGAAAGCTCATTTATTTGGTGCCTTTCCAATTTCTTGATGTAGGCACCTATTGCTATAAACTTTCCTCTTAACACTGTTTTTGCTGTATCCCATAAGTTTTGATATGTTGTGCTGTTATCCTCATTTACTTCCAGAAAGTTTTTGATTTTTCTTTTGATTTCTTCTATGATCCAGTGTTCATTCATGAGAATGTTGTTCAGTCTCCATGTGTTTGCATATGCTCTAGGGATTCCTGAGTTGCTAATTTCCAACTTCATCCCACTATGGTCTGAGAAGCTGCATCATATGATTCTAATTCTTTTGAATTTGTGAGACTTGCTTTATGGCCTAGTATGTGGTCAATCCTAGAGTAGGTTCCATGTACTGCTGAGAAGAATGTAAATTTTTTTGTGTAGGATGAAAAGTTCTGTAGATATCTGTTAGATCCCTTTGGGCTATAGTGTCATTTAAATCTACTGTTTCCTTTTTGATTTCCTGTCCAGTTGATCTATCTGTTTCTGAGAGTGGAATATTGAAGTCCCCCAGTACTACTGTATTGGAGTCTAAGGCTCCCTTTAAGTTCCTTAACATATCTTTTAAATAAACCAGTGCCCTGTAAATAGGTGCATATATGTTTATAATAGTTGCATCTTCCTGTTGAATTGATCCCTTAATCATTATATAGTGCCCCTCTTTGTCTCTCTTCACAGTTTTTGTATTAAGTTTATTTTGTCTGATATTAAGATGGCTATGCCAGCTCTCTTTTTTCATTTCTGTTGGCATGGAATATCTTTTTCCAACCTTTCACTTTTAATCTGCATGCATATTTGTTGTAAAGATGTGTTTCTTATAAGCAGAAAATAGATGGGTTTTGTTCCTTAATCCATTCAGCCATTCTGTGCCTTTAAACTGGAGAGTTGAGGCCATTATCATTCAATGTGACTATTGATAAGTAGTGACTTTGCCCTGCCATTTTCCCAAAGATATTTATAATATATGCTTTGAACTTCATGTGATCTTTTACTTGGTGTTTTTCTTTCTTTACCTTCTTTTGTATGATGACTGTGTTTCTGTGTTTCTGTGTGCAACACCTCTTTAAGCATCTTTTGCAGGGCTGGACGAGTGGCGACATATTCTTTCAATTTCTGTTTGCTATGAAAGGTCTTAATTTCACCTTCATTCACAAATGAGAGCTTTGCAGGATATAATATTCTGGGCTGGCAGTTTTTCTCTCTTAGTACCTGGGCTATGTCTTGCCATTCCCTTCTAGCTTGTAGGGTTTCTGATGAGAAGTCTGCTGTGAGTCTAATTGGAGATCCTCTGAGGGTAATCTGACGTTTCTCTCTTGCACATTTTGGAATCTTTTCTTTTTGGCCGGTGCCGCGGCTCACTAGGCTAATCCTCCGCCTTGAGGCACCGGCACACCAGGTTCTAGTCCGACTCGGGACACCGGATTCTGTCCTGGTTGCCCCTCTTCCAGGCCAGCTCTCTGCTGTGGCCCGGGAGTGCAGTGGAGGATGGCCCAGGTCCTTGGGCCCTGCACTCCATGGGAGACCAGGATAAGTACCTGGCTCCTGCCATTGGATCAGCGCAGTGCGCCAGCCACAGCACGCCAGCCGCGGCGACCATTGGAGGGTGAACCAACGGCAAAGGAAGACCTTTCTCTCTGTTTGTCTCTCTCACTGTCCACTCTGCCTGTCAAAAAAATTTAAAAAATAAAATAAAAAAAGAATCTTTTCTTTTTGTTTCACTGTGGTGAATTTGATTACAACCTGTCATGGTGAGGATCTCTTTTGGTCATGTTTACTAGGGGTTCTATGAGCTTCCTATACTAGAATGTCTCTGTCCTTCTCCTAATCTGGGAATTCTCTGCTAGTATCTCACTAAAAAGGCCTTCTAATCCTTTCTCTCTCTCCATGCCTTCAGGAACTCCTAGAACCTGAATGTTGGGTTTTTTAATAGTATCCTGTAGATTCCCAACAATATTTTTTAGATTTCTAATTTCCTCTTCTTTTCTTTGGTTTGACTGTATGTTTTCCTGTGCTATGTCTTCTATGTCCAATATTCTCTCTTCTGCTTCACTGACTGTTTTTAAGGCTCTATAATGTATTTGTCATTTGATCTATTGAGTTCTTCATTTCATTTTTATTTTCCTTCAATATCTCAATTTCATGTTCTACTAAATTCCTCATTTCATTTTGATTCCTCTTTAAAATTTCATTTTCATGAGAGAGATTCTGTCCTGTCCAGTAAGGATTTCTGTAGTTCAAGAATTTGTTTTTGAAAACTTCTAAATGTTCTTATCATAAATTTTTTGAAATCCATATCTTGCATTTCTTCTATCTCATCATCTTCATAATCTTAGTTTGGGGTGTCTTGTTTATTTGGGGGCATCATAATGTCTTCCTTGTTCTTGTTTCCTCGGTTTCTGTGTTTATTGCTTGGCATTGTGGAGATATTTTTGGATTCTTCTTCCCTTGCTGTGGTGTTTTTTTCTTGTTATACTATGACTCTAGATTAAGTGGACTGTCTGCTTTTGGTGAATCTCTAGAGGCTTGTGGTAGATGTGGCTAGAGAGCTCTGTTCAGTTCTTCAGGGTTAAGGGTGTGCCAAAAGTGACACACCCAGGTTTGGCATGGTAGGTCTTCTCTTTCTCTCTCTCTCTCTCTCTCTTTTATTCAGAAGGGAAGTAATTCCACTCATTTGAGCTCTTCTCCTTGATGGCAATCAGTGCCTGAGCGCTAGCCCTAGTGGTTATAATATTTGTCTACTCTGTCCTAAGGACCACACAAAGGATCTGTTCAGTCCTCAGTGTAAGCTCAGATTCCCCTGCAATGTCTCTCATTGTGTAGCCAAAGCCACCTGAATTTGTGGCATTTCCCATCTCAGCCACACTGTAAGTTCTCCCACAAATCCTCAGTTTCTTTTTTTCACAGTCCCGGTTCATAAGCTCCACACATTCACTAGGTCTTAGTCTCCTGTTATTTCTCCCCACCAGAGTCAGGTTTTCCTGCTTGACTGAGGGTGGGCGCAGCCCTGAGCTGGTGCAGCTGTTATGTATGTCCAAAATGGCACCTGCTCTATTGTCTTACCAAACTGTGTAAGGTGAGTGGAGAGAGAGAATTGTGTCCATATCATCCCTTTTATTTTTTTCTCTCCTCTAGTTAGCCTGGTGTTCTTTCCCCAATGGGGCTTCAAGCCTTGTTCCCTCTAGGCTCTTCCTTCCACTTTTCTGCCAATGTCTCAGGCTACTGCGGTTTTGCCTCACCTCTCTTTCCAGTGCTGGTGTGGAGGAGACTCTTGGCAGCTGGGCTCCTGAGCCGTGGGCACACGTGCCCTCTACATAGATCCACCATGTCCCTCTAATTCTGGAAGTTTCCTCTGCCATTTTTTCCCTGACTCTTCTCTGAGACTACACTATCTCCTCTTTTATTAAACTATCTTTTCCTGGACTATCAGTGAGCTCCCTCTCTATTCTGCCATCTTAGAAAGCCCTCTCAAGCTCCATCACTATTTTGAAAATGCCATAGCAAATTGGAACTTCTTTTCTCCCTTCAGAGAAAAGAACAGCTTCTTTGATGGCCACTTCTTTCCACTGGAGTCTCACTCACAGAGATCGTTCATGTAGAACATTTTTTTGCCACAGTGTTTTGGCTTTCCATGCCTAAAATACTCTCAAGGGCTTTTCAGACCAGGAAGCCTTAAGGGCTGATTCTGAGGTCAGAGTGCTACTTAAAGTGATTGTCATTCTATGAGTCCACTATGTGGACTGCTTCCTATTTTGGAACATTCTCTCCATTTTAATTCTATCTATTATTATTACCAGACTTGACTCTATTTATATGATCACTCTAAGACTCAGTCGTATCTATATGTTCACTTTAACACTTACATGATCTTAATTTTATCTGTCTTATCTCTAATTTCTTCTTTTCCCCTTTAGTTCACTCCCATTGAATTTATTTTCTCATACTTCCCAGTTTAATCTTGTAGATGCCTAATCACTGATTTCCAAAGCAAGAACAGGCAATTCTTTTTCCTGATGTCTGGATTAGTGATTGACAGATCAGATTATTCTAAAACTATTGAACAGCGCAGTGGAGCTTTCTCCTTAAAGTGCAGCTATAAAAAAATTCATTCTAAACATTTTTGGAAAGGCTTTCCTTTTGTAAATTTGTTATCAGATGAAAGTTAGGTATGAGGCAATCATGGACATTCTTACAAAAATGTAGACAACTGTAATTTCCCTTCAATGCTACATTGTTATTTGAAAACCTACCATCAACTGGCAAAATGTTCATTGGCTCCAGGCTTCCTTTATGTGTTTGCTCTATTCCCATATTGTCCAGGACAGTTTTCACATCACTAACATCAATCTCTTCTCCTTCAAAAGACAGAAGAGCAAAGATATACATAGATAAGAGTTCTAAAAATGAACTAAGAAAATATAAACACACATACACACCCAAACTCTGATGCCTATTCAACATCAGTGTCACATGAAGAGCAGAAGTAAAATGTGACCCACCCATCAGTATTAGTAGAGAGAGAGAAGAGGAGAGAGAAGGATTTTGATAGAAATCCATATAAATCTAGATCATCTATTAAATGCAGACAAGGTATCTAATTAAAAATAATAATCTATTCATGAGAAAAAAACTTTGAGCAAATTAGTTCAGAAGCAACATACCTCAACATAATAAAAGCTACATGACAGACTCATAAGTAATATAATACTGAATGGGAAAATCTGAAAATACAGTACTCTAAAGAAGAAATATAAATGGCCAACAAATACATGAAAAAATGCTCAATATCACTAGCCATCATGGAAATGAAAATCAAAACCACAATGTGATATCATCTCACTCCAGTTAGAATGGCGATTATCAACAAGACAAAAATAGAGGAGGGTGATTAGTGGTTAAGATTCTTCTTAACTCATATCCCATGTCAGAGTGCCAGCATTTGATACCCAGCTCTGGCTCTGAGTCTAGCTTCCCACTAATGTAGTCCCTGGGAGGCAATAGTGATGGCTCCAGTAATTGAGTTCTTCTCACTTACAAAGAACACCTAGATTGAGTCTCTGGTTTCTGGCCTGGCCCAATCCAGTCCTGGCCATTGCAGGCATTTTTGCAATGAATCAATTGATGGATGTATGCTTGCTCACTCTCTCTTTCTCTCTCTATCTCTCCCCCCCCCAACAAAAAAATAAATAAATAGTTTTTACAAAACAAAAATTAGTAAGTTTTAGTGGGTGTTTGCACTGGGCGTAGTGGGTAATACTGCCACCTGCAGTGCCAGAATCCCATATGGGCGGCTCTTGGAATCCTAGCTGCTCCATTTCTGATCCATTTATCTGCTATGGCCTGGGAAAGCAGTAGATGATGACACAAGTCCTTGGGCCCCTGAACCTGCGTGGGAGACCTGGAAGAAGATCCTGACTCCTGGCTTTGGATCAGCACAGCTCCAGCTGTGGCGGCCACCTGGGGAGTGAACCAGTGGATGGAAGACCTCTCTTTCTTTCTCTGCCTCTCCTTCTCTCTCTGTGTACTATGACTTTCAAATAAATAAATATTTAAATAAATAAATTTTTGTGAGGATATGGAAAACAGGTGTCCTTTTACAATTTTGGTAGGAGTGCAAATTAGTACAGCCATTATTGAGAACAGTATGAGGGTCAGCGCTGTGGTATAGCAGGTAAAGCTACTACCTGCAGTGCCGGCATCCCATATGGCCACTGGTTCAAGTCTTGGCTGCTCCACTTCTGATCCAGCTCTCTGCCTGGCCTGGGAAAGCAGTAGAAGATGGCCCAAGTCCTTGGGCCCCTGCACCCATGTGGGAAACCCAGAAGAAGCTCCTGGCTTCGGATTGGCGCAGTTCCAGCTATTGTGGCCAATTGAGGAGTGAACCAGCCGATGGAAGAACTCTCTCTCTCTCCCTCTGTGTGTGTGTGTGTGTGTGTGTCTGTGTCTGTAACTCTGACTTTCAAGTAAAATAAAGAAATTAAAAAAAAAAGAGAGAGAGAGATAACGGTATGGAGGCTCTCAAACTAAACCAGACCTACCATATCAGCCAGCTTTCATAGTTATATATCTGAAGAAAATTAAATCAGCATTTGAAAGTGATATGTGCACTCCCATATTCACTGTAGCACTAGTCACAATAGCCAAATTATGGAATCAACCTAATTGTCCATTACTGGATGAATGGAATATTATTTAGTCAGAAAAAGATGAAATCCTGACATCTGCAGCAAAATGATAGTACTGGAGATCATTATGCTAAAATAAACCAGATACAGAAAGACAAATACTGTATGTTCCCTAACGTGTATGTAAACTTAAAAGCATAGCCAATCTGAACTAAATATAGGATTGGGAAGGATGATGGAGGTAGAGGGAATATAAAAGATTAGATAACAAGTAACAAAACACAAACTAGAGTAATAAGTTCTAGCATTCCATCATACAGTGGGGCAATTATAGTTCGTAATAATATATTATATATTATATAAAGAACTGGAAAAGAGGGGGTGATAGGCTCCAAACACAAGATAAGAAAATGGAAAGGCTAGTGGACTTGTTTTCTTGGTTTACTCTGTGTATATGTGTTGAAATATTGCATTATACCCCATTAAAATATTCAAATATCACATGTACAAGCTAATCGAAACAATTGTTAGATAAAATAAAAAACAAAACACAGATACATCTCATATGTAGAAGAAAAATGTGAACATTGCCAAAAAATAAAATAACAACTTTCATATTTTTAGCTTGGATCATTAGTAGATAAGATTCTTTATTTAGGGGATCCAAAGAACTCTACTAAGAAACTATTGGAACTCATAGAAGAGTTTGGCAAAGTAGCAGGATATAAAATCAATACACAAAAATTAACAGCCTTTGTATACACAGGCAATGCCACAGCTGAGGAAGAACTTCTAAGATCAATCCCATTCACAATAGCTACAAAAACAATCAAATACCTTGGAATAAACTTAACCAAGGACGTTAAAGATCTCTACAATGAAAATTACAAAACCTTAAAGAAAGAAATAGAAGAGGATACCAAAAAATGGAAAAATCTTCCATGCTCATGGATTGGAAGAATCAATATCATCAAAATGTCCATTCTCCCAAAAGCAATTTATAGATTCAATGCAATACCAATCAAGATACCGAAGACCTTCTTCTCAGATCTGGAAAAAATGATGCTGAAATTCATATGGAGACACAGGAGACCTCGAATAGCTAAAGCAATCTTGTACAACAAAAACAAAGCCAGAGGCATCCCAATACCAGATTTCAGGACATACTACAGGGCAGTTGCAATCAAAACAGCATGGTACTGGTACAGAAACAGATGGATAGACCAATGGAACAGAATAGAAACACCAGAAATCAATCCAAACATCTACAGCCCACTTATATTGATCAAGGATCCAAAACCAATCCCTGGAGTAAGGACAGTCTATTCAATAAATGGTGCTGGGAAAATTGGATTTCCACGTGCAGAATCATGAAGGAAGACCCCTACCTTTCACCTTACACAAAAAATCACTCAACATGGATTAAAGACTTAAATCTACGACCTGACACCATCAAATTATTAGAGAGCATTGGAGAAACTCTGCAAGATATAGGTACTGGCAAAGACTTCCTGGAAAAGTCCCCAGAACACAGGCAGTCAAAGCCAAAATTAACATTTGGGATTTGCATCAAATTGAGAAGTTTCTGTACTGCAAAAGAAACAGTCAGGAAAGTGAAGAGGCAACCAATAGAATTGGAAAAATATTTGCAAACTGTACAACAGATAAAGGTTTAAAACCAGAATCTACAAAGAGATCAAGACACTCCACAGCAACAAAACAAACAACCCACTTAAGAGATGGGCCAAGGACCTCTATAGACATTTTCAAAAAAGGAAATCCAAATGGCCAACAGACACATGAAAAAATGTTCAGGATCACTAGCCATCCAGGAAATGCAAATCAAAACCATAATGAGGTTTCACTCACCCCGGTTAGCATGGCTCACATTCAGAAATCTACCAACAACAGATGCTGGCGAGGATGTGGGGAAAAAGGGACACTAACCCACTTTTGGCTGGAATGCAAACTGGTAAAGCCACTATGGAAGTCAGTCTGGAGATTCCTCAGAAACCTGAATGTAAAACTACCATTCAACCCAGCCATCCCACTCCTTGGAATTTACCCAAAGGAAATTAAATTGGCAAACAAAAAAGCTGTCTGCACCTTAATGTTTATTGCAGCTCAATTCACAACAGCTAAGACCTGGAACCAACCCAAATGCCCATCAACAGTAGACTGGATAAAGAAATTATGGGACATGTACTCTATAGAATACAGTTTAAAAAAGATGAAATCCGGTCATTTGCAACAAAATGGAGGAATCTGGAAAACATCATGCTGAGTGAAATAAGCCAGTCCCAGAGGGACAAATATCATATGTTCTCCCTGATCGGTGACAACTAACCGAGCACCTAAAAGGAAACCTATTGAAGTGAAATGGACACTATGAGAAACAGTGACTTGATCAGCCCTTGTCATCACTGTTGATGTACAATTAATACTTTATCGTTTTTAGTATTTTTAGTATTTTTTGTGCTACTTAGTACTATTGGTTGAACTCTGTAACTAACATACAATTATTCTTAGGTTTGAAATTTAACTGAAAAGTGATCTCTGTCAAATATAAGAGTGGGAATAAGAGAGGGAGGAGATGTACAATTTAGGACATGCTCAAGCTGACTTACCCCAATGTAGAGTTAGAAATGTGCCAGGGGATTCCAATGCAATCCCATCAAGGTTGCATGTACCAATGCTATCTCACTAGTCCAAGTGATCAATTTCAGTTCACAATTGATCACACTGATAGGTCTAAGAGTCAAAGGGATCACACAAACAAGACTAGTGTCTGCTAATACTAACTGATAGAATTAAAAAGGGAGAGAACGATCCATCATGAGAAGCAGGATACACAGCAGACTCATAGAATGGCAGATGTCCTAAACGGCATGGTGGCCTCAGAATCAGCCCTTAAGGCATTCAGATCTGGCTGAAGAGCCCCTGAGAGTATTTTAGGCATGGAAAGCCAAGACACTCTGGCAAAAAAAAAAAAAAGAAAAAAAGAAAAAAAGAAAACACCTAAATGAAAGATCTCTGCGAGTGAGATCCCAGTAGAAAGAACTGGCCATCAAAGAAGGAGGTACCTTTCTTGGAAGGGAGGAGATAACTTCCACTTTGACTTTGACCTTATCGAAATAAGATCGAAGTCGATGAACTCAAAAGGCTTCCATAGCCTTGGCAACTCATGACTAGAGCCTAGAGAGATTACTGTTGCCTTAAACAAGAGTGTC